GGCGCATGTCTGCACCTCCGCTTGTAAGAGGCTCTACGTCAGCGACTGGATGCTCGCCATCAAGGTCCAGTGGAAGTTCTTCAAGAGGAAAAGCGCCCCCTGCCGCCCCGAGGCTTCCACGGCCCGCGCCCGCCGCGCTCAGTGTCCGTTTTGCCAATAAACTGAGCAACCCTGGAGCCGGAGTGCGCCTGCGTGTCGGGGTGGGGGTGCAGGGGGACCCCTGGTCAGGACCCGGCCAACCGGATGGAGCCCCCTTTCCGCGCCGCGTGTCCAGGCCCTGCTCTCCCCCAAGCCGTTTCTCGTTCAGGCGTGCTGCCGGCGTCCCTGGCCCCCTGCCGACACGCAGGATGGGCAGCGCCCGGGCCCCCCCACGCCGAGAGTGCCCCGGCCTCCCAGACGAGGCACAGTACCAGGGTTAGGATCCGGAGGTCAGCTGGCCTGGATTGCCTGAGCGGGGTTTGCAGTTAGATTCTGTCACTTGGAACTAGGGCGAGTGCCGACTGTTTTGGGGTCTCAGAGTCCTGCCCCCACAAAGGGATAGCTGCACACACACCCTCTTCACCGGGTTCGGGGCTTCCCTGCCCTCGAGTCCAATCTTGCACCCCTCCCTCCCCCCAGCACGTGTAGCTGTGGCTGAGGCAAAGCCAGTCCACTTCCTGCTCACAGGGCTCTGGCCCCCAGATAGCCCCACAAAAATGGGTGCAGAAAATCCAGCTAGCGATTTCTGTCAGAGGGGCTGGGGGCTTCAGGTCTTCATTGGGGACCTGGTCAGCCCACCAGCCCTGCTCCCAGAAAGCAGCCCGGGGCGCTGTGGTGTGTTGCAGACCACCCCTGCTGAGCAGGGTATGGCTGAGCAGACCCCCCTGTTGGTGCTCACTGGGGAGGGGGCCTCTTGCCCCAGGGCCCCATCCTGTGGGGCTCTGGACCTCTGCAGTGTCCCCCTCCAGGGCAAGCAGGTGGGCCAACCACAGAGTCACCTGTCCATGGGTGTCACTGAGTGTACTGTGGCTCCCATAACAAATTGCCACAAACTTGGCTGAAAACAATAGAAATTTATTCTCTCAAAGTTCTGGAGGCTAGAAGTCCAAAGCAGGTTTCACTAGGCAGGAACCAGGGTGTGGGCAGGGCCACCCTGGCTCTGGAAGCTCTAGGGTAGGACCCTGCCTGCTTCTACCAGCCTTTGGTGGCTGCCAGCAGGCCTGGGCTTGTGGCCGCATCACTCCCATCTCTGCCCTCTCTTCTGCAGTCTGTGTCACCCCCTCTGCCCCCCTCTTTCCAGGACACTGGTTACATCTAACCCACCAGGTAATCCAGGACAGCTCCCACCGCAGATCTGCAGAGCCCCTCTTGCCAGCCAAGCTCACACTTACAAGTTCCAGGGCTCGGGGCCTGACATCTGTGGGGGCTGCCATCCCGCCTCCTACACTGAGTGAGGAGGGACATGAAGTGGGTGGTACTGCCAGCTGGACAGAAGCGCTGTTGGTGTCCTACACCAATCCTAGAGGAGAGCATGGGGGGGGGGGACCTGAGACTTGCCCTCAGGGAGTGTGGGACACCAAGATCCAGGCAGCAGTGGGTGTGGGAACCCCCTTCCCTAAGGGCCAGGGTTGACATAGGACCCACAAAGGCTCCCAGGGGCCCAGACTTAGCCTTTACATCAGCATTTCAGATTAGCACAAGGAATTTTCTAGCGTCAGTCCATCCCGTACAACGAGTAACTTTTTAGTATAAATGTATCCCATGCAATATATGGGACATGTTGACACTACAGAAGTATTTGTTATTCTTCTGAAATTCAAATCCACCCAAGGATCCAGGTCTTTCCTGCCAGTCTCTCCAACGAGCCCCTGCTGGCCCTGGGCCTCTCCTGGTCTATTGCTATGGCCAGGAGGGACCTGGTGGGACACTTTGGAGCCTCTCTGCCCGCCCCTGCGAAGTTGTCCTTACACACTTGGCCCAAGTTAGAATTAGCATCAAACCAAAGAATTTGTCAGCCCACAGCTGAGTGGAAAGAAGTCCCCCTGGGCAGCCCCTGAGGACCATCCCAGCCGAGGCCATTGTTTGGGCCACAAACTCTGGCCTCTGGGGGTCCTGTACCTTCAGACACTGAGGGTAGAGTGAAATCAACCCACTGCTTCGTGCCCTCCCAGGTCTGGGCTTGGGGGGCACCCTGGGGGGCATGCTTGGCCATGCTTCCTGCTCTCCAGGTGGTCACGTCTGTGGGGTGGGGGGCACAGACCCCACCAAGAGGGTGTGAGGACAGGGGTGGGTGAGGGACTACCTGGCTGTCAGTGGAGTCTGCAGAGGGTCCGCACCCTGGCCCTGGGCAGGGAGTGCTAGAGCCCCACTTTCAGTGTGGGATGATAAGGCAGGTCCAGGAAAATCCAAGCTGTTGGGTCTGATGCCTGCTTGGGTCGGGGCTTCACTGCACCATCCCCTCACCCCTGCTCATGGGGGGCCGAAAGGGAGGGCCCTGACCTGGAGGCAGAGATCCGGACACAGAGGTCTGGCAGGAGCCACGCAGTACCTCTATTGTCCACCAGAGGGCAGCACACTCAGGAGTTACCGAGCGGGCCAGGCTCCAGCGTCCAGCCGACCACCCGCTGCACAGTGGGGGCTGCAGCCCTGGGTCTCTGGGCTGTTCCAGCACCCCCACACTCAGGCAGGAGGGGCTGCTGACCACAAAGACCCTGGGTGGGATGCAGGGCAGAGCTGTGCTGGCTTTGAGGTCTGTGGTTCTCAGGACCCCACGCAGGGTTAACCATCGCTGAGGTTGTTCATGTCGATACTGCGCTGGAAGCTACAGCGGAGAAATGTTGAGAAACATGAGACACAGCGGTCCGGACGTCGCTGTCGGGGAGACGGGAGTCGAAAGGCATTACCTTGAGGCCCTCTGGTAGGCCCTCCACCCCGAGGCCCCTGGACCCACTCTGGGTACCGACGGCAGAGGCTAGGCTGGCTCGGGTGCCCACTATGGACACCCCACGCAAGTGGTGGGCCAGGAGGTCTCTGCTTCTCCGTCAGCAAAAGAGTCATCCAGCCCTGCCCCCAAAGCCACCGTAAGGACTGCATGAAACAGTCTCGGCTGAGTGCTTGGACGGGGCAGATGCTGCAGCCTCAGCTGCCTCGACCTCCGTTTCCACGGCCGCAGTGAAATGGAAGCGCAGGCGTGGGGGCACGTAGGCGTGACCCCCTTTGGCCCAGGGAGTGGCTGCCATGCCGGGCAGCATCTCCCCCTGATGGCAGGTGGGGAGCAGAGCAGTGGAGGGCCCAGCTGGGCTGGAGGACGGAGTGGCCCAGGAATGGTGTCAGCTTGGTGTCAGCTTGGGGAGCCGCATGGGCAGCTGTGGATAGGGCAGTGGGTGGTGTGAGGGGGTGCCACAGCCCTGGACAGAGCCCCTGGAGCCTGGCAGGGGCACCACACAGCCGCATGGCCAAGGGTGAAATTGGGGACGTGGACTGATGCCCTCGCTGGCCCTGGCCCCTGGGCTGCATTTACCTTGGAGGACACCAGGACAGCGAGTCCTGGGGGAGATCCTGCTGGCCAGCCTGAGGCTGATGCTTGGGCCCTCAGCCCTGGGGCAACCCCTGAAGTCAGGGACGGGGCGGGACAGGGCCAGCCGCCTCTCCCCTCTGCTGGCACAGTGAACAAGCACCACAGGAGCCACTACGATAGGAGTGCGGCCCCAGCCTGCACCGGGGATGCCTCCAGAAGACTCACGAGCAGCTTGGAGGCTGCAGCTGCTGAGTTGCCAGATCTGCCTCCTGCTCTATGCCCCAGGTTCCTGGCTCTACCGGTAACCTACCCCCTGCCCCCCGCCAGGTTCCCTGGTGGCTGGGAGGGCTGGTATGCCCCTGGCGCTGATAGTCCTGGCTCTGCCAATGGCTGTGTGCTTCCCTCCATGGGGCCGAGCTTTGCAGCAGGCCAGGCCCCAGTCATGTGGCCCCAGGGGCTTTCCCACACAGCTGTGACCATTTGGGTAACTGTTCTCATGGGCGAATGTGGGTGCGTCTGCTCCGAGGTGTGTCTCAGAGTGAGACTGTGGGTCTGTGGGATTATGTGTATGCCCCTGTGTGCATGCATGTGTGTACATGTACGTGTGTGAATGTGTGCATATGCATCTGAGCATGCGTGTACATGTGTGAGAATGTGTGCATGTGTGCATACATGTGCACGGATCTATGTGGGCTTGTGCTCTGCATGCGTGTGCACATGTGGTGCATGGCTGTGCATGCATGTGTACGTGCACATTGAGTGCGCATATGCATACATGCATATGCATTGTGTGCACTGCGTGTGTACAGGTGTGTGCATGTGATATCACGTGTGCATGCGTGCTTGTGTATGTGTGTGTGTTGGCTCTACCTGTGCTGTCGGCTGCTGGTTGGAGTCGGGGCTGAGCCTGTGGAGGTGCCTACTGGTGGCTGGACCAGAGCCATGCAAGGACAAGCCTGCGGGGGCTGGGCTGGGGGTGTGTGAGCCCCGAGGCTGCCCTGGCTTTGCTGAGGGGAGGAGGGAGAGGGACTGGTGGATGAGGAGCTTTGACGATGGCTTTAGAGGAGGCAGGCAGGCGCTGGCTCACTTCCTGGCTTCATTTGCTGGCTCCTGGTGTCTCCCTCTGGGGGTGGCTGGGGGAGGAGGTGGCTGCTGCAGAGATGATGAGGCCGCGTGAAGCAAGGAACGGCTCAGGCGTGGGCTCACGGCTGAAAGCCAGGAGGGGAAAGGTCGGCCCTACCACCCGGGCCCACCAGCCTGAGGGTTGGCTCAGCCTCACACCAGGGTCCAGGACAGGACTGTGGGCTGAGGGGGGCTGCTGAGGCGGGGGCAGGGAGGCACCAAGACAAGAGAAGGTGAGAAGGCCCA